CCCCCAGCCCCGAGCCGCCGGCAGCACCCGCTCCCCTGGTGCTGCCAGCCCGGGGTGCCCCCGGCGGCATCGGGGACCACGGTCCCATCCATCCAGCCCGGCACGGCACACGCCTGGCTCCGCAGCCGGCTGGGGTAGTGGTTGCAAATCCAAAGAGCAACTTCTCTGTTTAACATTTAAATAAACCCTGGGCTGTTTACCCAGCAGCGCTGCCCGCAGTTTGCTCAGCGAGGACCCGTCTCCAGAACAGTGGCTCTGGGTAAACAGCCCAGTATTTATACGCTGGGACGTTAACGCAGCTCTTTGGGGTCTCTCGGGTCCCTTCGGCTCCTGCTCCGTCCCACCACCCCGATGTGGCCCTGGGCAGGGCATGGGGCTGGGACCCTGCGGTTTGGGGCTGGTGGCCCCGGGTTGTGGCTGGGAATGGGGGCTGCCCTGCTGGGAGCTGGGATGGCCACGGGCCGGGGAGGAGGAGGATGGAGAAGGGGAAGGTCTCAGGGATGCTGTGGTGTCAGGGAGCGAGACTTTCCCACGTGGGAAATTGTCTTGGTCGCCCTTCGATGAGAAAAGTTGCCTGGATGCTGCAGGGGGGGGGAGTCGAGGGGTGAAAAGACCAAAAAAAAAGGGAGAGTGGGTGATTCGAAGCCCTGGGACGTGTGCGGGCCTGGCGCCCAGGGCACCCTTCTCCCCCGGGGCTGAGTGTCTTGGATCCCGCACCCACCACCCCACCCTCGCCCAGCGGGCCCTGGGGCCACCGCTCGGCGAAGGCCACGGGCTGGGAGGGTGGGCAGGGGCCACCCCAGAGCCACCCCATCCCATGCCCCGGCCCTGATGGTTTGTGCTGGGAGAGCTCCTGACACCCCAAAAAGTCAAAATTAGCATTTCAATGGGGAGGAGCTGGAACCTCCCAAGCGTAACTGTGCCAAGCAATTTATTTTTTCCCCCATAGTGGGAAGACAGGGAAAAGTTTGGTGCTGCCGAGGCTGCGAGCCCGGGGGATTCCTTCCCGGAGCATCTCTGAGCAGGGAGGAGGGAGCTGCCATCGTGCTGTCGGTGCCATGGAGCAGCCCCGGGGCTGCTCTGGGGGTTTTTGGCTCCCGGGGGACGTGGCTGGGCGGAGGCGCAGTGAGCTGCAGCCCGCTCCCCGCTCCGCACCCCAGGAATTTCCCTCCGTGGCCGGAGCGAGGGTCAGGTCACCTCCTCGTCTTTTATCAGCAGCTGGGTTTGGAGGCAGAAAGCCCTGTGGAGCTGCTGCGAGAGGGAAGGGGCTGCAAATGCTTTCTTCTTTAGAAGAGATAAGATAAAACCCAGTTTTGCACCCCCCAAAAGGCCCTTTTCCAGCGCTGAACATGGGGGGTCTCCTTTTTTCTCGCCATTTTGCTCTTTCTTTCTATTTTTGTCCCATAAAAGCAGAAGGGACAGAATGAGAAATCAAGGGCTGGAAAATGGAGCATCAGGGATGGGGGAACCTGTGGGCTGAGCCGAAGCCTCGGCTCCGGGCAACTGGGAGAGGGATGGGGGGCTCCTGGTGTCCCCCCAAAGCTGGGTGCTCCCTAGCTCACTGTCCTGGCTGGGGGTCAGTGCCAGAGCCAGGGGACCCACGTGGGGACCAGCAAACGCCATGCCGGATCTGCCAGTGCCCCGGGCACCCTGGCTCTGGTTTGAGCTCGTGGCCACGTGGTGCCGAGCTCCAGCGTGGCTCTGTTTGGGGGTGCTGGTTGCATCCCTGCTGCCTCTGCTTGGCTGGTTTGGCGCCGGAGGGGTGCTGGAGCCTGGTTAAAATCCCAAACAAAGCCCAAGCTGGGTGATGGTTGTGGTGGGAGCCGGGTGATGGTTGTGCCCATGCCGGGCGAGCGATCTGTCCAACTTCCCTCTGAGCCCGGAGACCAAATGATTTAGAAAATACTAATCGTTGCTGCAGTCAAACAGATGGATGGGAGATTTTCGGCGAGTGGCCGTGCCGGCTTTGTGCTCCACGCGCTGCACGCCGGCTCTGGCAGCCGGAGGCGTCCACTGCATGTTAATGGTGGGGGCAGAGCGAGGGCCGGCTCCAGCGCCGCCGGCTCTGCCGTGGCCGGGCTGGGGGGCTGCGGGACCCCCGGGCTTGCCTGCTGCCCCCGCCACGGAGACGTGTGTCCCACTGGCGGGGTGTGGCGATGTCAGCGTGCGTGGCACTGGTGGCAGGGGACACGGAGGGACGCCCCGGTGGGGTGGCTGGGGGCTCGGTGGGTCGATGGGTGGCACCTCATCCTCCATCCTGACCCCACACCGGCTTCATGCCGAGAGCGAAATCAACCTCTCCAGGCTGATGGCATCGTGCTAAGTGGGGCTAATCCTGCTCTCCCTGCGGCTCCCAGAGGTTGGTGTCAGCGCGGCCCCGCGGTGATTTATGGCCCGACGACAGCGTTGCCGAACAAGCAGGGAGCGGGCGAACAGCGGCCTCCCACCCCCCCTCTCGTTGCAGGTCAAGGATGGTCCATGTGATGGGGGATGCCGGCTGCTGGTTCCTGCTCGGGCTCTCCCTCCTCCCCATCGCCGTCCTGGGTAAGTGCCGCCCGCGCTCCATAGCCAGGCCCAAAGAGCCGATAATGGTAAACAGCAGCCAATAATGAACTGTCAGCCCTAATAAATAATGGGGGTGAATAATAACCAGGGGAGGGAATGGGCTGCTGCCCCCCCACCTCCCTGCCCTGGGCTGCGGGGGATTAGCGAGGGAGAAGCCCCCCAGGCGACCGTGGACGCCCCCCACGCTGGGATCCCCGCAAGCAAGACCTTAAATCCTTAATCCTGTTGGCGGCACCCCTGGCCCCCTCCCCGCCGCGGAGCTGAGCCCCCTGGGGATTTGCCGTGTCTCTGACCGGGAGAGCCCGTGTCCCCCCCATCCTGCATGGTGGGGGCATCGCGGCATCCTGCTGCATGGGATTTTTGGGATCCCCCCACCCTGGTACCCTCCCCGTGTGTCTCCCGCTGAGCTTGGGGCGCAATGGAGGGTGGGGAGCTGGGGGGGGAAGGTGCCAGGTGGGGATTAGTGGCCATCCCCGGTCCCCAGCCAGCTGGGCTCAGCGGGGAGCATCCCCCCAACCCTGCTGCGGCAGGGAGAGCCACGCCACAGGGGGTTCGGAGACTCGTGGGATTTGCGGCGGTGGAGCCGGGAGCCTGCACAGGCTGGGGCAGGATTAGTGCGGGAGGAGGAGGAGGAGGTCACAATCGCTGCCACGCTTTATCCCAGCATGGGGATGGCTTTCCTGCTGGTGTCACGGGGGTTGGATGGCACCGAGTCGTTGGTGAGGGATGGGGAGTATGGATATCCCCGCGGGAGTGGCGCGGGACCATGGGTGCTGAGCAGTGGCTGCAGCCTGGCAGCCTCCTGGGGGGGGCAGGGACTTGGCCGAGTCAGGGTTCAGCCCTGGAGGGGCAAATTTAACTGGCAAAGTTGGTCTGCAGCCGCTAGACAGGGAGGCTGCACATCGTCTCGCTTCATGCTCTTCCTTGGGAGGCTCAGAGTGCCGGGCACGGAGCCCCAGCACCCTGCAGTGCCCCCAGCTCTCCCCCCTACGAACAAGAGCCCTGCCGGAGCTCCCGCCACCCATCCCCGTGGTATCTGGGTGCCTCTCCCCGCAGGCTCCCAGGACGATGGGAAGGTGATCCACATCAACAGGGTGCAGCACCAGGCGGTGCGTGTGGGGCTGGGGGAGCCCGTGGCCCTGCCCTGCCTCTTCCTGCTCCAGCCCTCCGCCTCGCTGGGGCCCAACGAGCCCCCCGACCCTCCCCGCGTCAAATGGAGCAAGGTGCGCTCGGCCACCGGCCAGAGGGAGGACGTCCCCATCCTGGTGGCCAAGGACAACGCGGTGAAGGTGGTGAAAGCCTACGAGGGCCGGGTGTCCCTGCCTGGCTACCCCCGCGACCGCTACAACGCCACGCTGCTGCTGCGCGCCGCCCGTGCCAGCGACGCTGGGCTGTACCGCTGCGAGGTGGTGGCTGGCATCGACGATGAGCAGGACCTGCTGCCCCTGGAGGTGACGGGTGAGCCGGGCACCGCGCCGTGGGGTGGCATTGCTGGGAGAGCTGCGGGGGCATCGCGGCAGGGTGGCATGGGTGCCCGTGTGGGTTGTGCGCCCCGTGCAAGCTGTGCACCCCATGTACCTTGTGCGCCCCGTGCACCCCATGCGAGCCCTGCGCCCTGTGCACCCCATGCAAGCCACGCACCCCGTGCAAGCTGTGCACCCCGTGCACCCCATGCAAGCCCTGCACCTTGTGCAAGCTGTGCACTCCATGTACCCTGTGCCCCCTGTACAAGCCGTGCCAACTCAGCTGTGCCGTCCGCTGCCCTTCCAGGCGTCGTCTTCCACTACCGCCCCGCGGGCGAGCGCTATGCACTGACCTTCGCCACCGCCCGCCGCGCCTGCCTGAACAACTCGGCCGTCATCGCCTCGCCCCAGCACCTCCAGGCCGCCTTCGAGGATGGCTACGACAACTGTGACGCGGGCTGGCTGGCTGACCAGACCGTGCGGTAAGTGTGCGGCACGGGCTGCCGGCTGGGCACGCCTCACTGTGGGCAGCCGTGGAGCTGAGCACTCACCATGCTCCTCTCTGGCAGGTACCCCATCACGCTCTCCCGGCCCGGCTGCTACGGAGACCGCAACAGCCTCCCCGGCGTCCGCAGCTATGGCCAGAGAGAGCCCAGTGAAGAGTACGATGTCTACTGCTACGCCCGGGAGCTGCGAGGCAAGCGGTGCCGCGGTGGCTGGGTGCGCGCCGGGCCGGGTGGGCGGGTGCCCGGGGACATCCCTCTGGGGAGATTGCTGTGGCCGGGAGCGCCTCCATGCATCTCCATGCATCTCTTGCCTGCTGTGGTTTGGCTGTGGGGATGGGTGCCGGTGCCATGCCAGCGCTCGATGTCCCCCTTGGTGCTGGTGCTTAGCGGTACGGCGTGGCTGTGGTGCTCGAGTCATGGAGACTTCCAAAAAACGCCGCTCGGCTCCGAGCTGTTGGGACCGTCACGGCTTTCCGTCCCCACATCCCCAACGGGCTCTGCTTTCTTGCAGGGACGGTGTTTTACGCCACGGTGCCAGGGCGGTTCACGTGGCAGGGGGCCCGGAGGCACTGCCGGAGCCGGGGGGCTTCGTTAGCCACCACGGGGCAGCTCTACCTGGCGTGGCGCGAGGGCCTGGACCAGTGTGACCCAGGCTGGCTGGCCGACGGCAGCGTCCGCTACCCCATCAGGCTCCCGCGCAGGAAATGCGGTGGAGAGGCCTCGGGCGTCAGGACCCTCTACCAGTTCCCCAACCGCACCGGCTTCCCCCCCGCTGCCTCCAAATTCGATGCCTACTGCTATAAAGGTAAGGGGGACCAGCCGTGATGCTCGCACCACGTCCCCCCCCAGCCTCCCCACCAGCTCTGGCCCTGCTTCCCTTGGGAATCGGTGGGCATGGCCGGGAAAATTGCTACGGATGAATATTTAATTGGGGAATTAATGAGATAAATGAGGAGAGTTGCAGTGGGAGGGAGCCCAGCTCCGTTCACCACCCTGGCATGGTGTGAGGCTGGGGGATGCGCTGCCTGGTACCCAGCCCTGGGGGGGATGCAGGTCCCCACTCATGTCCTGGATCCCTGTTCTGCCCCTTGGTCTGCTGCCGGCACGGCTGATGCTCGTGGTCTCGCCACAGCGCATGTGGCTGTGGGGCAGAGGGAGCCGGAGGAGCTGGTGCCACCCACGCCCGACCCACCGGGCAGCGACAACGTGCTGGTGGAGCACAGCGAGGACCTGGGCACGTCGGGGGACGCCCGGGACACCCTGCATGACCGCTACGGCCTCCTGCCGCAGCCGGGGCCCGCGGGGCTGGGTGAGGATGAGGATGAGCAGTTGCGGCCGGCGAGCAGCAGCCCAGCGGCACAGCGCGGTGACCTCCCCAGGGCTGCACCGTCGTGGGCGCGGGTGGCTCACGGCCTGGGGCTGGGTGATGGCACATCCCTGCCTCCCACCATGGCCTCCTCGCCGGCGTGGCCCCGTGAGGATGAAGCTCTCAATGTGGTGGACCAGGCACCGGTGAGCTCTCGGCAGGATCTGCCCAGCACCAGCCCAGCACCGCTGGTGCAAGAAGCCCCTGGCCCCAAGGATCCCCCAGCCACCCTCCTGCCACAGTCGCAAAGCCCAGCCCGGGAGCACGTCACCGGCTCACCGCCGGCACCGCCAGGGCTGGAGACGGTCCCCAGCATGGCAGCAGAGACCCCCAGCACCCCACCGGCCAGCTCCCATGCCCCGAGGCGGAGCAGCTATGCCGGGCTGAATGGGCGCTACTTCCAGCTGCAGCGGCAGAGCCGGGACCCCGCAGTGGCAGTTGGGGACCCCACGGTGGCTGGGGACATGGTGGGGACGGTCACCCAGGCCCCCGTCCTGGCCCTGGAGGTGAAGGGGGCTGCAGCCAACGCGGTGGAGACGTGGAGCATCCCCCATGCCGGCACCGAGCGCCTCCAGCGGGAGGGCACCTACTCACCCTCCAACACGGTGGAGGAGGAGATCGGCCCGGGTAAGTGATGCCCGAAAGCGGCTGGGGGGGTCCTGGCGGGGGCTGCGCTGGCTGGGGGACCCCAAGGCTGTGCCTTCTCTTGCAGAGCTGATGGCACCGGCCACCGCTCCGGTGTCCCCCTCGCCACAGGCGCCTGCCCGGAGGGATTCACCGTGGTGGAGCCCCCGCACGGCTGCCCGCAATCCCGGGGGGCCCACAGCAACACCCCCTCCGCCGTCCCCATCCCTCCCCACCTCCGCAGTTCCCCACGATGCTCTTGGCCACCAGGACATCATTACGGTTGGGGCTCAGCCCCGCGTCCCCAGCGCCCGCGGGGACTCTCCCCGGCCACCCGCGGATGCCACCGAGGACTTCTCTGGGGATGCCCTCTCCCAGGAGGGTGGCAGCTCTGTCCCGCCACGGCCCCCACTGCCCCCGGCCCCGCTGGTGGCCGAGGGCCCCGAGATGGCCCCGCAACCCCGTGGTGATGGCGGTGACGGCAGTGGGGCCCCGGGCGATGGCTCGCTGGAGAGGCAGAGGAAAGCAGTGACCTTCTTCCACCCGCCCGGCCCCCCGAGCCAGCCGAGCCGCCGGCTGAGCCCAGCCGCGAGCGGCCAACTGGGCACGGGGATGCCGGGAAGGGCTCAGCCGAGCTGAGCGGCGAAGCAGCCATGTCCCCCCCAGCACGGGACATCCCCTCGCCTTCGCCTCCCCCTGCGGCCAGCGAGGTGACCCCATGGGCTGGCACCGAGCGGCCGGTGGAGGCAGAGGGGCTGGAGGCCGCAGGCCAGGGGGGGGCCCCCGG